GAACGACGGTCGTTGATAACTTGCACCTTTATTTAACTTGAATGAGAGGTTGTCAATTAGAATATCTTCAGCACTAAAAGTTTCCATTGCTATATATAATTTAATTTAGAAATAATTTAAACTAAACTGATAAATTTATACATTGAAATTATGTTTTACAAATTGATGAAATTGTAATTTCATTAATTTCTAAAAAAATATATTTTTTACAAACTGATGAAATTGCAATTTCATTAATTTCTAAATCATAATTAAGAATTATGATTTACAAATTGAATAATTTAGTGTAATCCTTTTGATTAGATTTATTATTTTTAAATATTTTCATTTTCTTTTTCTTAATCTTATCTTCAACTGGAGTATTCCCTTTTTCTTTCTCCATTACTAATTCTCTAATTGCTTCATACGTACTTTTCTTATACTTTTTATTTTCATTCTTAATCATATCATCCGTTGTTTCATTGTCATATTTCTTATGCTGTATCATAATAATGATATGAAATTAATTTTAGTTTTTTCTTTTTACTGTTTCATCAATGTCTGATTGACTGTGATTACAAGTGCTTCTGTTGTCATTGATGAGGAAATAACCAAATTCAAATTTGTTTACAAACATATTATAAATTGAAATAATCCAGTTATAATCAATATAGTCAGGTCTGACTCTTATACTCCTGATAATGAAACATCCACATTGGCATTTTACATATGTTCGTTTATTATCTCTATATAAAGACATTAATCTTTGTTCAATTGTTAAGGGTTTATATGTTGTTTCACTTTCTGTCAAGTTTTCATTTAACTGATTATACATTGGTAATATTATACAGTTATATATTTAAGTACTTATTTAACTATATTATCTCCGTTACCGGTTCAACACTTCTTGAAACATCTTTGCCTTGGTCTCCGTATCCAGTTATGTAATCGTGGTTAGTATATGGATTAAATGAACCAGTATAAACAGTTATAGCACCACGGTCAGCAATACTGACAGGGTCTAAGATACTTCTAAAATTAATGTAATCATCGGTAATTTTAGACCTTCGTGATATAAACGGCGCTCCATAAGTGGTTAAAGTTAATTCTCTTTCAGGGTAATTTTTTGTTATCTGTGCCCCTACACTTGAACCGAGACTATGTGTTATAAGATGTTTAACTTCATTGTTTTCATCCAATGCTGTTGATGTGTCTGTATATCGTTGTGAATATTTAGTCATGTTAAAGGGAAGTCCTACATCTGCCAGAATGTCATTAACAGCACCTCCAAACGTTCCTTTTCCAAATGTTCCGCTTACATACATTTTATCACCATCAATATAAAAACCGTTACCATTGCCATATGCTCTACTTAACCCTTGTGCATCAGTTAAATTTGAATTAGGATAATAACTATGTAATATTTTGTCAGTTTGTTTCATAACATTAGTTATTTTAGTTGTTTTCTTATAAGGTTGATAATGTTTAATTTTCCCATGCTTCATTTCATAAATTAACTTTTTATTATTAATCATATTTTTAAAGTTATAAATTAACTTCTCAATTAATTAATAATGCTTACATATAAAAAAGTTTATATTGACAGCGCTCATAGAATTAGTGGTACATCATCGAATTTCAAAGTTGAATTGCCGGAAACATTACAAACAGACAACGGAGTTCATTGCTACATTCACGAAGTAACATTACCTAACTCGTGGTATTCAGTTCAGTCAGGATTAAATAATATATTATAGTTTTATTCTTCTCCACTAGTTCCAGATGAAGATAACACAAATGTCCATTATTTAGCGTTACAATTGGACGAAGGAGTATATACTGGCACAGAACTAGCGACAGAATTAAAGGCAAAAATAAATGGTGTTGTAGATAATACTAATTTCTCAAATACTTATGAAATTTCTTACAGTGTAAAAACTAATAAAATAACAATGTATTCAAACTATGCCGATAGAAAGTTCGCTGTATTAACTGATGAACAAATGAAACGAACATATACAGATTATATATGGAATGGAAGTTTTAATGCTAATAACTTGCAATCGAAGTTTTAGGAAATTATCAAGTTGCATTTTATCAATATAATGATCCTTATGTTTCTGGTTTCGTTAATCTTCAACCCATTAGAAATATTTATATTAATTCTTCTCAATTGTCTAATTATAATCAAGTAAATTTAAGAACCGGCGATAGCACAGTTGTTAAGAAAGTACCAGTCACAGCACCACACGCGGGAATTGTCTTTGATTCAGAATTAAACCCTCTGGATTACTTGGATGTATCAAATAGAAGCTTTAAACAATTAGATTTTTGGATTAGTAATTCATTAGGAAATGAAATTATTTTGAATGGAGTAAATGTCTCCCTGTCATTATTGTTTGTGAAAAGCGATATTATTTAAATATATTCTTTAATGTTTCCATATAGAAAATATATAGAATATATTATATGTCAAGTAGTGAGGTAGTAGATGTTAATAATGAAACTAAAACAGAAGAAGCACCTGTTAATAATGAAGTCGTTGAACAAAATGAAACAGATAATGAAGAACCAACGCCAGAAGAAGTTAAACCTGAAGAAGTCATTCCTGAACCAAAAGCGAAAGCAAAAGCGTTACCAAGAACTAAAAAAAAGAATTAGTAGAATGTGAACAATGCTCTAAAAAGATGACATTGAAAAGTTTGAGACACTCACATCCTAAAAATTGTAAAGGGGCAAAAACCGAGATGCTCCCAGTCAATCCACAAAAGAATAGTAGAAAGATAGAACCAGAAGTAAAAGAAGAAATTAAGAATGAGATTAAACAAGAAGTGATTAAAGAAACTATTAAGAAACCCACGGCACCAGAACTATTAAGCCAACATTATGAAGAACTTAAACAAAAGAAAAAAACAAGATAAACAAGAAAAAATACACAAATTATCTTCAATGTTTTAAATAACAATCTAATTATATTATATATTAATCATGCTTATGAGAAGTCATAGAAATGTAGAATTTAAAAGGGCGCCACAAGTAGAACGTCAACATAATGTTTCAGATTTATGGGGAGTTGCTTCAAGAATGAATTATTTTAAGCAGTTGAAGGAAACGCTGGAAGCGAGACAATCACAAGGAGCATTAATAAAGTATAGAAATGATTTAGCTGAAAGCAACAGAACCGAAAGTTACAGAAAGGAATTAGACAGAATAAGAAACAGATTAGACAACACACGGTCACCAGACGGAATACAAACAAAGGAACAACTAACTGTAAGAAAGAAGCATTTAGAAGAAATGATTAAGAATATCTCTGATTAATTTATTTTTCTAAATAATTAATATACTATGATTAAATCAATTAATAGATTGAATACAGTAGGACCGGTAAAAGTAGGGTCATTGAAATCACAATTACATTTGAGACCTTCTTATGATGAATTATTGAAAGAAACATTAGTAGGAGATGAGAACCGTCCATCAATTGAAAATGTGATAGACAGAAAAGCGACAAGATACAGATTAAACCAATACGGTAGTCAGTTTGATAATAAGGACGCCTTAGACATTCAAAAGAAACAAGAACTAGACCGAAGAGGAGAAGTTATGAAAGGAGCAATGTCGGACGCTGACAGTGTAAGAGCTAAACTTAATGACGAACTGAAACTTGCTGACACACTGAAACAACACCAGTCTTTCATTCAAGAAGGATTGGCGGAAACAAACAAACAGAAAGAAGAACTTGCTGAACGAATGAGACGTTGGAGAGAACAACACGAAGAAATGGCAAGCGCTGTTTCAAAGAGTTCATATCCTGCCGGTGTAGAAGTTCATTCAATGGTGTCCGCTGATGAAATGCCAGAATAAGAACCATTAGAGGAAGGCGAAGAAGAAGATGAACAAGAAGACGACCCAGTTGTTGAAGTAGAATCAAAAGCAGAAGACGCTTATGGTTACAACGAGTTTAAGAAAAGAGCGTCTGAACTAACACCCGCTTATCTTGCAAGCAGACCAGAAGAGATGAAAGAAGTCATGGACAAACTGAAAGGATTTAGAAAGATGAAAGACAGTGCTTATAAAGAATTCACTGAGTTATATAATGCTTTAATTAATAGCGATGGTGGTTTTATAAAGAAGGAACACACACTGAAATTAGTAAGGTTTTTCAATGACAAAGTGTATTACTCAGTTTTCCACCCACGACCTAAGGAAAAAGAAGATAGTC